AATTTTTCGAAAAATTTCTTCTTAGTGTACATTCTCTTGACGTACCCTATTAAAACGCAATCAAAAACGCAAAAACCCGCATCTAAAATAGTATAAATAGAAGCAGAGTTCTTTACCGTAAGCCTTAATCCTAACCATCTCCCTTCAGTGGGAGGAATTTCGACATGTATATTATATAAAAACACATGCGTATTCGAATGCAACATTGTGTCAAAATTTCAAAGGAATCGGTAGGAACAAACGAATATTACATTTTTATTTATATAGATAGATGGAAGATGATCTGCTTTAGTTCATCCTCACAGAAAAGCAAACTTAGGGCGCCGTACTTGTAGCGCCATATGTTGGACATAAAAGCCTTAACCTAGATTATATTTTTTAATTTATATGAATGTTTAATGGAATAATATACAGCCTATGTCCACCCTGAAGTTCCATTCTAAATATTGGTGAAAGAATTTTTGAAATCGAATGAGTAGTTTCGGAGATTACCTGCTGCATACAAACATTACTTCTTTATAACATTAGTATAGAAGTATAGATAATTAATTTAAATAAAATATTTAATTTGGTTACAGAAAGAAATCAAATTTTGTTTAGAATGTATCAATAGACTATGTTTGTTTAACAAAAAATCTACAATATTCATTACAATTATGAAAATTTATAAAATTCATAAAGTTATATTTCTTTTTCATTCAGAAAACAAAAGTTTTTAAAATTTCCAAATATGCATACAAATACACAAGGTAATTATTTCATGATCAATTATTTTGAGAATGCAAGTAATAAATAGAAAGTTAATAATGACTGTAATTTACCATAGATTTAATAAATATACCTTAAATGAAACAGCATGACAATAATCACCAGTATGATGAGTAGTTGGATTATCATCTTGAAAACCATCCCAAATTCTAATATCTCCATCAGTACCACAAGTAAAAATATATCTAAATGTATAACAATTACAAATTTTATTAATATAGTTAATGATAAAGTATAAAGCATTTATTAATTTAAAATAATTTTAAAAATCTTGAAAAATTTGATTTGACAATGTATTTAAAAATTTTTATTCTTTAAACTTATCAAACTTCAATTAATGCATTAATAATTATTTAATAACTAACTATATATAAACTAGGACTTTTATTTATTGAAATATAAATTACAACTACACAATACTTTCTAAACTCATGATAAATTCAGCAAACATACCTGTTAATTTCTAACACTATTATGAGAAACAAATTACAATCATTATAATAATAAAAATCAACAAATTTGTTAGTCAGTTTGCAAGTTTGTATTAAAAATTAGACACACACACACACTTAATATATTAGCTATAACATTTGATTCTTAATTCCATGTTAATTTTGCCATATCATAATTTTGCTAAAATATACATAAAAGCCATTACAAACAATATCTATTATAACAACGGTGGGCAACCCCCGGCCCGCGTGCCAGCTACGGCCCGCGAAAAGTTTCTATCCGGCCCGCGAGATGTTTAGAAGAAATTATAAATAAATATTTTCGATGTAATTCGTCTAGTTTAAATTGAATATTTTTTTCTGAAGTGTTGTGGCAGCAATGACAGGAAAAAATAAGGGAGTCATTTCCTTATTCAAACAAAAAATGGGAGAACAGAATTTTTCTAAATTATTTATATCTCATCGCATCATCCATCAAGAAAATCTATGTGCAAAAGCTATGCAATTAGAAAATGTAATGTCTGTCGTATCCAACTACATAGTGCTGTTTTTATTGTGTTTAAAGTCACTTAGATTTTACAAATAGGTGAGCCGTTCACAGCCCGGCACACGCATTTGTAAAATCTAAGTGACTCATACAACATGGAATTCATATAAAACGGAATAATCAACAGTGTTATAGGGGGGTCGACTGTAGTAATTAATTTCTTTTTATTTATTTATTTATTTCATATTTGCAGACTAAAAATTTACAGGTCACAAGGTGTCAATTAACTACTATGGCCCACGGAAAAAACGTAAAATTTATTCTGGCCCATGTTATAAAAAAGGTTGCCCACCCTTGTATTATAAAGAGATAATTAAACATAAGAAATTATTTATTGTGACATTGTCACAATGCTGAACTGCAATTTTTAATCATATTTTTAATTTATCTCATTTAAAATATGTGCTCTCCACCTCAAATTAGTAGTGGCTTGCCCCTGTATATCATACTTTTTCTTTAACAACAGAGTTGTCATCTATCTAATACCTTTTAGGGAAAAATTTTTGAACTGAAACAACATGACTTCTGATTTGCATCAGAAGTTCGTATATATATTAATGTATAATTATATATTAATATAGTTAATCGGGGCCTCCTGATCCTAAACTTTCTATATCTGGTCTTGGATTTCATCTATCTAACTCCATTCTCAAGATTAAGGAAATACAGATGAACAGATGGATGACAGTAGGAATATATGTCTACAATTTTTTCAAATTGCAGCCCAAGAAAAAAACTTGATGCCTTACTTTCTGGACAATCCATATAGAATAAATAGAAAATCTTCATTAAAAATATATTAGAATAATAAAGCAATTAATAAAAATTCATTATATCTATTTCATATTATTTATAAAAGTAATCAATACAAAATTTTGATAATACCTTCCATCATCATCAAAACATAAATCTGTATGCCCTTCACTATGAGCATAACGCATTTCACCAATTTCAGATACCATGTTAATACTCTATAATAAATAAAAATTGACCTGCAAGAAATAAAATATAGACTTAAAATATCATACTTTAAAATTCTGTACATTTCTTAAAGATATTTCATTATTCATATGTTTTTAAACTTCTAGATAACTGATTACCTATTATATGTTTAATGGTAAGAAAATTTTCTAAAGTTTCTAAGTTTTTTTTAAATGAAATTTTTCTTTTTAAATTTGTCTGATTCTGGGTTTTATAAGTTTTTTTCTGGTTATGTTAAAGTTAAAATATTTACCAAAATTACACAGTTTACAGTAAACCTGTTCAAAATGGAACCTGAATAAAAAAGAAACCAGCCTAAATGGAAAAAAATTCTTTGGAATGGAGCAATTTTCTATGTTAAAAAAGAACCTGTTCAAAATGGAAACCTTCCAAACCAGAAAAAATATTCGGTACCATAAGTTTCTGGTATATACAGGTTTTACTGTATATTTTATTTGGACCAGGAAAAAAAAGCTATGGAAGGAATGTTGGTAGGATTTACCATTTGTATTGTATATATTACAATAGTTATTTTTTTTTATGCATCATCATCATCATTTAAACTATAATCCATAAACACAGCGCAATTATCATATAATAAATTATATCAATTGCAGGTTCGTAAAGTTCAAAACCGTTTATCAACGTATCAGACAGGCAATGGGAAACCACCTGATTATTTTCCCATGAGAATATTATGACGAGGATGAGCAATAATGGTATCAATCATATGCATGGCAATCCGGTCAGCAACTGGCGCCAAACTGATTCCAGGTCATTTGGTATGAAATGGGCTACCAGGCTTGTGGACATAGGCAATCAGGCAACCACAGGCAAAATATGCATCTAGAAGAAATTTAAAATTACATGTAAGGAGAAATTTATCCTTAGGTACTTTGAATGTAAGAGGACTTTTACAGACGGAAAGCTCTACATAGTAGAAAGAGCTTAATTGAGAGAATATACAAATTTGTGGCATCTCCGAAACACATTGGAGAGAGAGTGGTCATTTTGATACAATCAACCACATGATATATGTATGTTTCAGGTACGGCCAAAAATGGACATAATGGAGTGGCCTTTGTTATCGACAAATGCCTAACAAAATTTGTGGAAGGCTATGAACCTATCAACGACCACATAATCAAATTTACAATATCTTCCAAGCCAGTAAAACTTCATATTATTCGGGTTTATATGCCCACTTCAGCTGCTTCACATGATGAAGTGGACATAGTGTACACACAATTTGAAAATATCACCACAAAAATACCACAGAAAGACATATTGATAATAATGGGAGAAATTAATAGATGAAAGGAAAAAATTATTAACTTCAGCAATCGTTGCAGATGAAAAGAGCTAGACAAAAAAAAAATCAAAAAGACTTGTAAGAAGGACAAAAATTATTGTGACAGTATATGCAATGAAATTGAAGTCCATGCAAATAATAATCAGACTCATGAACTATACAATAAAGTTAGATATCTAGCAAGAGAGTTCAAACCATGCACACAAATAATTAATTAAAAATGATGAAAATGAAATCATAACTGATGCGGAAGGGATTGCAAATGTCTGGAGGAAGTATTGTGAGAAACTTTATAAAGACACTAGACAAACAAATGGTAATAATCAACTTCAGAATAGATGGACAGGGGAAGTCAAACCATTTATTCTTAAATCAGAGGTAGAAAAAGCCACAAGTACATTAAGAAATCACAAAGCTCCAGGACCTGACAACATAACCTTTGAAATTTTAACAGCAATGGGAGAACTGGGTGTTGACATATTTCATAAAATCTGCTCCTTAATTTGGAAATCTGAGAGATGGCCATAGGAATAACGTAAATCAATATTTATTCCAATTTATAAAAAAGGTGCACCAACAGACTGTTGTAACTACAGAACTATCAGCCTAATTAACCATGTCAGTAAAGTAAAGCTCTAAATAAGTAATAACTGTTTGAAACCCATCCTATTACCTGAAATAGCTGAAGAACAGTCAGGATTTATTCCTGGTACAGTAAAGGAACTCTTGAACACTAGACAAATCATTGAAAAAGCTATGAATTTAATGTCAAAGCTTACCTTTGTTTCGTAGACTATATCAAAGCCTTTGATTGTGTAAAATGGCACAAAATATGGCCCATTCTCCAGAACATGGGCATCCTGCGCCATCTTATTTTGATTATCAGAAATTTATATGAGAATAACTCTGCAAGAGTAAGAGTTAACAAAACTATGTCTAATACATTTACATCTAAAGCTGGTGTAAGACAGGGATGTATTCTTTCCCCTTTACTCTTTAATGCTTATTCTGAAATAATCATGAGAAGGGTATTAGATAACTGGGATGGGAGCATTTCCATCGGGGGCTATAAAGTTAACAACCCGAGATACGATGACGATACACTTATTATGTCATCCAAAGAATCAGAACTTAAGTATATTATGAAACGTCTTGAAACTGAGAGCAAGGAATATGGATTGCTGATCAATGGAAGTAAAACAAAAGTTATAATTGATTGTTCCTTGACACAGACTAAGGCAACTGCAGGCTATAAAATGGTGAATGAATTTGTTTATCTTGGAATTACATAGAATTTGCCTTGCTCACAATGCAACCTCTAAATTATTTAGAATTTGGAAGATTCTGCAATCACTATTTTTAATAAACTAAAGCTCATAAGAACACTTATTTTTCTGATTGCCACTTATGCCTCAGAAACCTGGACCATAAATACCACTTCTTGGAAGAAACTTGATTCCTTTGAAATATAGACACACAGAAGAATGTTGAGAATCTCTTCAATGGAGCACCGAAACATATTGCTACATCCTAAATCAACTGAAAATCACAACACAACTTACCACTAAAACATACTAATCCTACCTTCGCTTCTTGGGACATATTTCCAGATGCAAAAATGGTTTTGAGAAACAAATCCTGGAAGGGAAGATCAATGGCAGATGTCAGATTAGGTGGGCAGACCAAGTAATAATGATTACAGGACATATAATGTATGAAGCCAGCCATATGGCACAACACTGGGAGCAGTGGAAAGATACAATTAAAGCTGTCAATTTGTAATATCACCACACCCTCTGAAGGGCGTAGGACTGAGAAGAAGAGAAGAATCAATTGCAGGTGCATAGTCCACACCGTGCGTGTCTAACAATTAAGTTTAGACAATGACTAAAATTAATAAATAATTGTACAGATATAAGATTTGTGTTATTGTAAAGCAATCAGATCATGAAATATAAAAAGAGAGACGTTAGGCTAAGTACTTTGATGTAACGTCTTATGAGTCACCCAATTAATACTATTGTACTATTTTGACTTACCTATAATTGGTTGCTAAAATTTTGCTATTCTTATCAAAATGAATATAATTAAAGGATTTATTTTTTAATTCAGATAATTAGCAAAAATCATCATTCACACAACAGTACATGGTACACATTCAATGTTGTCCGAAAGACAGTGGTGACAGACTGTACAATAAATTGTCAATTGGCTACTATTGCTATAAATTGAATATTAAAATTTTTACATTATAATTTGTATACAATACAGTCGACCACCTATAACACAATAGATACGTTCCGGTTTTTATGAAATCCATTTTCTATGAGTCCTTAAATACATAAGCCAATCACAACCCGGCACGTGTGCAGTTTATGGACTATGGCTGTTTGAAGGGTTTCTTCCATAAAATTAATCGATTCTAGACTAATTTGACTCAACATTTCCAAAATACGTATAATTTTTTGGGAATAATCCATATAAACTATGCTATAAACAAAAAATTGTAGGATTACTTACCGAGTGTGCACTGTTCAATGACGCCATTGCTTAAGCTTGTTTTCGTCGCAGAGCGAATGACGCTTGCATGCTTCCTGATAAATTATTTTTCTGTGAAAACTTTGCTGAACTTTGGAGACATCATTAATATATAATGTTTATGGACGTTAAATAATAAATGGTTTTTAGTAGGTCCGCTGTTCGTTTAAACTCAATGGTTTGTGCAATGTCCACTATTGGTCTAGATTCGACCAATCCTGTCGCAACACAAGTCAGCAATGACATTTTGCTGAATTATATGAGTCTTTTTTAGCATGTTTATACGAATATGGTCGCAATTTTTTCACCATCATATAAGAATTCGAACTATATGAACCCATTTTATAGGGGAGCCTACTGTACTATTCATCTTTGAATTACAATTTATGCAATGAATGTTTACATTTTTTACAGTTTAAAAATCAAGACAGCATATTAAAAAGCAAGTCTGTGCCACCTAATTCGAGACATCTGGTTACTTTATAAGTAGCGTTGTGGTAATTTACTAGGATGAAATATTCTATATATAGTGAATGTTAAAGAAGAATTCTTCAAAACAATTTTTTTTAAATTAAATCTTTCTAATTTTTTGATATGAACTATTTACTTATAAATAAAAACAGGATAATCTGGGACATTTTCCAACCCAGAAGACAGTCAAAAACCAGGACTGTTCCAGTTAATTCAGGACGTCTGGTCACTTTAGTTATTGTCCTTATTTTCCATTTATATCTTTTAAAATGGCTTATTAATGCTAAGATTTATCAACTTGGCCAAAACAAATCTGATATTTTTGCAGAAGGAAAAAAGCCTTAGAATAAGGCCTGATTGGTTATAACTCTGACCATAATACACACTTTCTTATTCATCTCCAAATCTCATAAAATTCCTTGTCATTATGTTAAAGTATCAAAATGGAACAATTTTAATTGAAGAAAAGCATACACATCTATATACCGTACAGGGATAACGATAAAAAAAAGACTCTCTATAACCAATAACCAGTGCAAAGTACATTAAGTAATAAAAAATTTTCATAACTTCTGGGTTCTTTCTCAGGTTATCTTAATTGTAAATAAGTTGGATCTTCTAAACTCATTCAAGAATATAAAAATGAACAGTAAGATGAAGAGTTTGAATAAAGGGAATTTATGCATGTGT